AACAACATTTAAACCATGCTATTATTCCTCATATTCATAAAGGAAAAGTAGACTTACTTGATCTGAACAGCATCTGCTCTGATTTTGCTTCAAAAAAAAACAAAACAGAAAAATTTTACTCGGTTGTAAATAGTTTTATTTCTTCTAAGTCATTTTTAATTTATAAACCGTCCCTCTGTTACTCGGTTATTTTTTTATTTCATTAGAAACAATAATGTTTTACATAGTTATCACACTTCTATTGAATGTGAATCTAGCACAAAAATCTATAGCGTTTACCGTTTTAAACAAATAAAAAAATCCTTTCGATCCATTCTCAGGGCTGGCTTGGCTGAAAATCTGAGCCTACCCTAGACTCAGACCGCTCCGCCGCCTATGTACAAAATATATGGTTAAAATTTGCTGTACTATAATATAATGGAATGAATCATTTCATAAATAAAAATAACTCTTTGTTGACTTTTTAACGGTAGTAGGAAGTCGTTTTACATGTGCATCCTCAGAATTTGATAAGCATGTGACAGATATGAGTCAGTCCACATACTCTTATTTTCATATCTCAGAATGTAAATGTGAAAATTAAACCTTACTAAATTTTTTTTATCTGAAAGTAGCTTTAAATGATAAAGATTTTTCCAGTTATTATTTATTGCAATACTAAAAACTATTCATTTATAGATTCATGCAATCACGATCGTGAATCAGTGTACTTTTATGAATGAATATTCACATCATTCTATTTTGTTTTGACAAACAGTTATGCGAAATGGTTGAATAAGTATCAAGAAAAAAAAATGATTCATACTACTTATCTTTACAAACACAGTAAGCGTACATACATCAATAAGAAAACAAACAAACGTGGCAAATATTATTATGCTCATTTTATTCCAAACATAAAGAAAAATTATTGATATCATAAAATAAAGTAAAACATAGTTACTCATCTATTGATCATGCTTTATAAAATATCTATTTGCTTGTTTATTGTATTCAAAATGTTAATATTAGCGAGACAATCTATATCGTCTTACGTATGTTCCATATAAAACAAAAGATAATACGCTTAGTATTTATCATAATTCATAGTTAAATGGAAAACATCAAACAGTTGCATTATACTTTGTCTATTGGATAATTACAAACTATATGGCATAAATTCATACTCCACAGAATGATGTAATTATTCATTGTAATAATGCTGTTGTATATCGGATTATTATTGTATCTGAGATTGAGAGTGTACTTCAAGATAGACGCTCCAATACGGTCTCAGTGAACTGCTTGTAGATGTTCGTATCAACGAAAGTCTCTTTTTCCAATGGTTGATATGTATCAATGTGGAAAAAATTGTCGAGCATCAAACATGATTAGTGTATAAAGATTTCAAATTAGGAGTTAGTCCAAGGGAAAAACGGCAGACTTGAAGTACATCAAAGGACTTTAAAATTATATGAGAGTACTTTGAAAAACACTTTAAAATTATAGAAAAGTACTTTAAAGGAGCTCGAAGTGCGTTTAAGTAGTGTAAATTACCTTCAAGTACAAAGTCTGCCGTTTCCCCCTTGAGTTAGTTTGTCATGAATATGACTATTTTCTCATAGCGACAACGCTTACGAATTTCTTTTTCCAGCTATAAACAATTACAAAGAGTGTTTCATACCCATATTTGAATTATTTTTTCTTAGAAATAATTCAAACTAATCAGAAAGAAAACAGTTTCGAAATATATTTTGTTCATAAAAATTTATTTCACCACTGTGGCATATTTGGGCTGTATGCTTAATACAAACAGCTTAAATAGAACAACATTATCACATGATACAACACTTTCGAAAAAATCTGTGGTAGTTTCTCAATAGTTATCACATGTGTAACTCAGAACAGTAACTTAAAAATAACAAAAACAAATTTCAATTGTTACCAAAATACACAGAAACTATTGCTATTTAGTCATCAATAAATAATGATAATTTTCCATTAAATATCGAATATCTTGTTAGTATTGTATTTACTAAAAATCAAACATTGTATTCAATGATGAATATTTACTGAAATACTATTCTTATTTAACTAATGGAACTAAGGAAATTTCTCAAACAAACAAAACATTTTCGAAAACACGTTGAAACACTCTCATCATGGTTCGCATTCTTCAGAAAAGAACATCAAAACTAGGTGCTTCATCTTAAATAGTGTTTGAAGATACTTAAAACGATAACTTTAGCATCAAGAAAACTCCAAACCGTTTTCTTACAACATTTTTGGCAGACGCTATGCATAAAAAAAGTCATTTTTATTTGAAAACTAAGTCAAAATATTGTGTATGTTAAGAAGTATAATCAAAACGAGTTTTTGTAAAGATTCATGTATTCATTGAAACTTGTAGTCTTTGTAACATTCATTTAGCTGATTATTTTGATTTGCGATATAAGATATCGTTTTTTTTGGAATTCCAGAATAAACAAATATTTGTAGATTATTTCCAATTCGACGAAAGCTGAAAGAATTGATTCTCATTTGCATTAGTAGTTAGCTACGTGTAGTGGAAAATAAATAAATAGATTTAATGATCGATCGAAGAGTGGATATATGTCAACGTATGAAGCATTCAAACTAATAATAAGGAATAGTATTGTCTTGACATCGCATAGTTATGACAACCTTGGGCACGAATTATAGTAAAATATAGAGCTGCCTGAATCGGAATATATTAACATTGGAAACATTTGAGAACAGTCCATGGAGTACTCAACAAGAAAATATTCCACTAAATCTTCTAAGCGTATAGATGATACTATTTCTATCTCAGATTGATAGATTATTATTTCAGTAATCTGCCATTTGCTTTTTGAAAATCTAATAATCTGACTTTGAGAGAACAGGACGAAGTGAGCCGACCAGTGTCCTACAGGTGTCTATTGATAATAGTGATTTTTATTTTGTATTATGTTGCTCCATTAAAAAGATGTAAATTTTATCATTGTACCTATACACAAAACATCAAGCACCTTATTAATGCAGTACAGGTTGGTGACCAAATGGGAGGATTCAAAAAGTGTCCGAAAATAAAGAATGATTGAGAGTAGTAAATCAAGACAGACTCATCACTGTTACACCATATTCAATTTATTCGAATGACTTCTTCTTTTTATGTTTATTTTTTTTCATATGGAACTTTTTTCAAAAACAAAATTTATTCGATTCAATTAGTGTTTACACAGTGCATAGTCCCACGAAAATTTTTTCTGCAACATCGAGAACCTTCATATGCATGATGGTAAAGAATGATCACTTGACTTGACTGGTTGTCTTTGAAAAATGATTGATCTTGCTTATGCTTGTAAACTGTCAGCTAACGTTGGTTGAAAAATATCTGTTCGATCATAGTGTACGATGTCAAATATTCAAAAGCGAAAGTTCATAATATCGATAGTTTGAAAATGATTCCACCTTTTGATAGTTTGATTAATTCAGATAAGAGTATCCTACAATATCGTGGAAGAAATTGGATAATTAGTTACTAATCGCATGGCAAACTTGATTGATGTTGTTTATTAGATTTAGTTTTCAGTGATATTACTTATAATCCACAGTAAAAGAACAAAATTTGATGTATATTATTGAAAACAAGAATAAAATTTTAATTGAAAAGCTGCAATCCAATCGTGTTGAAAATACTTTCGGCTTAATAAAACTCAATTGAATATTATGATTAAGATTTCTATTTAATTAATTTGTCGAGATATTTGTTGCAGATCTAAGAACTTGTTTCCAATGAAATTCTTCCAGGCTGATCTGGAAATTTTATCATTCTTCTCTTCCTAGATTTAGTGCTATTAAGTCATAAGGTTATGATAACGCTACTATCTTCATCAAACAATGAACAATATGATTCTAAGCTTTTCACGAGAGTTTTGTGTCTTGATTTGTTTAAAATTTTGCCTTGTTCTCATTTTTCATTTTAATCATAAGATAATTTGTTTGAAATCATCAGAAAATTCAAATTATTTTCTGTTCTATTAGATTATTCATTCTTCCCATTTGGACGAAAGTTATTCATCATGCTTATAGTAACATCTTGCAAAAATCAAACAGATGATCAATTTTATACAAAAGATTTAATCTGCAAAGTACATTTTAGTATTTCATGTACTGATTTTACACGTTTTCATAATACCATCTTGATTAGAATACATACATAATACATTCGAATGAATACAGAATAGAAAAAAAAAACAATTTATATCACGGTTGATCGTTGCATGTATAAATGAAAAAGAAAATTTTTTATTGATCAACAAGTGATGCTTGTAAAGCTTCACGCATCATAGCTTCTTCATCTTGTTCGTAGTTTACATAAGTATCTAAAGAAATATAAATCGATAGACAACTTTGCCGGATTTGGTGACCTATCTTAAATCGCGATACCATATATGCAACTTTTTTAGAGAAACTGTGATGCATCGAATGACATATATGAAACCAAGTTTCTCTCAAAATTTCGATGTTCTTGTGTCCATATACTGATTATAATTCTTGAAAATATATATAGTATCATAGATGTTGAAGTCCCTAAGATGTTCAAATATAAACTTATGCAAAGTTCGTTTTCAAATTTGATTCGATACAGTTATAGATATTGTTCGGTTTTCTATCGTCAATAATTTTTATCGTAGTTTTGAAAATTGTCCCTTGTCTTAGGTCTAGTTTATTTCTTAACAATATAATATTCTAATGTTTTTAATTCTGTAGCACAAAACAAGTAGTAAGTACTAACGTGAAAATTTCTCAAAGATTACACACTATTGATCTCTTTGTGTTTCACACATAATATCATTCAGAGCAGAAGGTACTCATTTTCAACTTGCGAATTTCAGCCCAGAGTGGCTTCTTTTCCTATATGAAGGGATCGGTATATTGAGGTTATTTTAACAATATTCAAGAGTTCTATTCAAAATTTTTATATACTAATATTCAACACAGCATTCCTGAAGACTTGATATAAATAACCCTTTCATAAACAAAATATTTTTTTTTAAATGAACATGCAACATGTATATAGATTCTGGCACAGCTCTATGAAAGGCTTAAACCTGAATAATGGAAATAAAAATTCGAAAAAGAAATAATAAAAATAGCAGACTTCCTTCGTGAATTCGTATATCCATACTTCGCCTCAAGAGTTCTGAAGGTCAGAAATTTTTTTTTGTTTTTTTTAATGATTTATATCAGTTCATCAAAAATGCTGTGCTGATTATTAATGTATAAAAAAAAATTTTAAATAGAATCGTTGAGTGTTGCTAAAATATCGTTAATATATCGATCTCTTCATACAGAATAATAAGTTATTCTAGGAAACAATTTTGCAAATATACAACGAGTCTCTACTATTGCACAGGATCATATCTGTGAAATATATAGAGCTCGATTATTTATTGTGTACTACAAAATTGAACACATTGGAATATCATATTATCAATAAATAATCTAGACCTAAGAAAAGAGATAATTTTTACAGGAACACTGATAGGTTTGAGAATAACTTTATTTCTTATATGTTATTCGATGCATTGTAAATTGCTCTACAAAATCACATATATGATATTTTGGTGCAAGTTCGATCATCAAATTCAGTAAAGTTCTTTCTGTTTTTTTTTGTCTTACCATAATCGAATTGATGACGACTTTTAATATGTTCATATACATTTGATGAAACCATAGTTTTATCACCCCATGGCATTGATGAACAAATTGGACTATTTCAATATAAAAGTAACTCATGTTTTAAATTAAAAAAGAAAAGAATCAATTTACCAAACTCGACGTTGATCTTCCCCTTGATGTCTTTTTTTAATGTGTTGACGAAGATGACTAAGACTAAAACTAAAAGAAAAATCAAATTAATTAAAACGAAAAAAAAAATTCAAAACAAAAAACAATTTACTTTGCTCTGGGACAAAATGGACATTGAAATGTCGAACGATTATCACCTTCTTGAGCTAATTGTAATGCTTTAGCTTGTGATTCCGACAATTGCTTCGTTAGAGTTGCAGATTTTGTTATTATATTATCATGTTTTGTTATTGGGAAACATGTTTCTAAATGATTTCGTAATTCAGATAATGTAAATACTAGTGAACAATTTGGACATGATGTTTCAAGTGTATTTAATTGATTTTCTAAATCTCGATAACGTACATAACCTAATGATTCTTGACGACAAATAGCACAAACAAAACATTGATTAGGTTGATGAACATGTGTTGAATGACTAAAACTTCCACTTCGTGATGATGAAGCAGGTGTAGATTCTGATGTTGGTGATGAATTAGAATGTTTTCTAAGACCAATTATACAATTTTGACAATAAGTATGTGGACAAGATAAACTAACAGGTGATTGGAATATTTCACGACCTATAAAGAAAATTTTTAAAGATTCAAAAATTATTATCATTCTGACAAGAAATTAATGTTTAGAAAAATGAATATGTCAAAATATTTCAATAACTTTATTACTTTCTTTGTGTTTTCAAGTTTGACTTAGACACAATAGAATACTGCGAACAAGATAGAAAAATTTAAAGAAAAAAAGAGAAATTAGTTTATTAAATTGTGTATGTCAAGAAAATTGTTATTACTCATATATTGTTATTTTCGAAATTATTCATCATATAAATTCTTAGGACATACTGGAAATATTTTGAAATAGATAAAAATCGATTCAATGTTTTTTTTTGACATGAAATATGTTCCAAAAGTTGTGTAAAAAGTTTTGGGCTACACATTCACTAGTATAATGATAGAATATCTCAAATGTGATTGTATCTTGTTGTTTGTAATGATAATTGTGGTATTAATCTCAATGAAAAATAAGTAATCATGAAATTAATTCAATTTGTCCTATCATTTTGAGAACACAAAACTTTAAACAAGTATGATATCTATAGATATGAAAAATCTACATTTTATTAGAAAATCTATTGATTACTCATGTATACACTTTAAAATTCTTTAAATAAAAATTGACTTACAAACACTACAAGTAAAATCTTCCAAATTAATTGTTGTTTGATCCATAAGTTTAATTGTTTTATGGAAAAACAAAATTAGATCTGAAACATGGTAAATAGAATAGAAAAAACGTAATCATAATTTTGTTTCACTCGATTGATTATACAAATATAAAAAGTACAGGTGTGTTTTTCTTATACTTTATTTTGATGTTTTTGTCTAGATGGAGTTACTATTGATGTGAGATGTCATGTTTTCTTTTGCTCAATTCATTGATATAATTATTTTTTGTTTAATAAAATCTTATAGAAAAATAAAATTCAGCTCAATATTCAAATGATATCGATGATAATCCGTTTAGTAAATCTTTATTGTTTGTGACATGATTAACTAGAAAAAAGAAAGATAAATCAAAATTATTAAGTACGAAATTTTTAATATTTTTCATAATTTCATCTCATGTTCTTGTTCTATTTGATTGAGATCGTATCATGAGAAAAATCCAACAATGAGTAATATTTTGTTTTTATTGGTTGATATAATTGATTAGTTTAGTTTGAATATAAAATCTTATGCAAGAAGAAAAACAAATAATTACTTATATTCGATCATCATAAGTTTAAATATATTCGAATTTTCATTAAATGTTTTAAATTATGAAATAATTCAGAATTACATTGATTTCTCTTTTTATTATTGAAATTTTATTTTTAGCATGAATAAAAATTGTTTCCTAAAATAAAAATATAATATATAGAAACTTAATTTATAGATGAATATCATCTTTTACCTTACTTGTTAAGATCACGTTTTCTTTTTTTTATATTGCACTTATTGACAATATATCTAGTTGAAAATTTTCTTTCTTTTCTTCGTTTTTAATCCACCAATGCTAATGAATATGCAAATATAGATGGTGGTGTTTTAGATCATAAACAATCTATCTATAACATTAAAAAAAACACCTTTTTCAAAATTATGCTTTATCATTGTCAAGTAGAAATTTTTTACTTAATAATTTAATGAAATTTTAATCGGTTGCTAAGAAAAATAATAAAATAAAACGACTTAATTGAAAATTCATACGATTATTTGAGTCAACTGAAGAATTCCTATAATTGACATTGTATCTGTTTGATCATAACAGATCAATAATCATATAATCGATATTTCAACTACTATAGAGAAATGTTTTTATTATAAAATCATGTTGAAAAAAGATATACTTGACAAATTGAGATCAAGAATAATTGTTATCTAAAATGAAGCGAATTTTTCTACACAATATCTTCATATTTATTATTCCTTACTATCTTCATCTAAAATAAACAAGGGTCCTATTTGAAATAAACTGTCTTAATCATATGATAAACTTTTAGACAAGTTGCTTGTGAATGTTGCATACAAATAATCACTGATGCAATAAAAACACTATCGAACATAATTCCCACGATCGTTTAATATTGGTTCGAGTACAACAACAGTTTAATATTGTTTTAAATATTATTTTAAAGATTCGAAATAAATATTTAAATTTTGTTGCATGTACCATTACAACCAAAACCCAGTATTATTGTCGAACTATATCATACATGTAGATTGTATGAAACAACTAATAAATCAACTAGAAAATGGAAGCATACTGATACTCCAGATATAAAACCAGTATTTTAGAGTACTATAACAACAGTTATACCACAATAACAAAGCAATATACGTCACAGCTGTATACTCTGTATTCATAATGATTGTCGTTTCGTTTTCTTTCATCAATAGAAAAATTGTCACCAGTTACGAACGATAAGACAAGAGCAAAAGAAATCTTAACAAATTATATGAAAAGATAATCTGTCGTAAAAAAAAAAGAAACCACGCAACATCATATAAATAATGTTCTGTTTATTTTTTATATAATTTATTTTCGATCGATTCCAATTTGTCAATTAGAATTGATCGATCACAATTAGTTATGTTATGCTTTTATTTTTTATTTCTTATATCTATTAGATGCCAGACTAGTTTCGATAGTATGCTAAGATATATATATATACATGATTTTTATCTTGACAAAGAGCAAGCAAGTAGGTTAAAGGGAAAATCTATATTTTAACTGTTACTGTCGTTATTTTGTTTTTGTTTTTCCTTCATTTAGTGTTGATAGAATCTATTCACAGAGCGTGGTAGTCATGTGTATTTCTTTAGTTAGATCATAGTAATGTTTGTAAATGAAGGAGAAATAATTAAGCACTTAGGTAAAAAGTTTTTCTATATGCATTTTTCTTAGAAAAGACGATTAATAAAAACGATGATTAATGAAAAGGACAAAAAAAGATATTTTCTTGGTTTTTCTTTTTCGCTCTTCCTTCCTTTCTTTCTTTCTTTCTCTCTCTTTAGATCATTGTCAGAGATAATTCTTTCTACCACTACACAAGTCGGCAGAGCAAAATATATGAAAGATTTGAATTACGAATGACTTTCAATGAACGCTAATGCCTCGTTTGATGATGATATTGATAATAGTGGTCTAATCATTCCAGTAACACAACGAAATTCAAATCAAATATTCGTTATATCATACAATTGGCCAGCACTATTTTTATTATTTTTTTCAATTATGGGTATTATTGGCAATTTATTAGTTTGTCTTGCTATTGGAACTGAACGACGTTTACATAATCGAACTAATTGGTTTCTTTTTTCATTAGCAGTTGCTGATATGCTTGTTTCAGGTGTTGTTATTCCATTAGCTATTGTTAAAGAATTTACAGGTAAAAATTTAAAAAAAAAGATATATTTTTAATTGAGTAAAATATGTCGATTTAGGATTTTGGATATTAGGTTCAGTTTTATGTGATTTATGGATATTTTTGGATGTTTGTTCATGTACATCATCCATAATGCATATTGTGGTTATATCCATTGATCGTTATTTAGCTATAAAAGATCCATTGAATGTTCGTTCACGACAAGAAAAATGTCAAGTACGTCTGCTTATAATGCTTATCTGGTTGATAGCTATCTTTTTGTCTTCTCCAATGATTGTTCTTGGTGTTATTAATCCATATAATATTATTATAAATGGACAATGTTTAATAAATAATCAGTTTTTTGTTATTTATGGTAGTGTTGTTTCGTTTGTTATTCCACTTATAATTGTTATTGTTATGTATGCATTAACTGTACATCGTTTAAAAAAACAAATAAAACAATTTGAAGATCAACCTACTCAAGAACAAATGACAAATTCAACTACGAATATTACTACTAAACCACTTTTACGACGGCAAATAGGAAGTAATACTATTATAAATAATTTTACACAATCAACATCAGCTTTAGCAACAACAGAATTAAGACATAAACGTTCTGGAAGACAACAAATAAGTTTTGATATAAGTGAAGAAAGTTCTAATTATATATATTTAAACAAAGATAGAAGTTCATCATTTATAAAAGATTTTGAAGAGAAAAAATTAATGAAATCATCTGCTCATTCGGAATATACATGTCCAAAAAATCCTTTTTATCAATTAAAATGTACATGTAATCATCATCAATTAAACAAAACTGAACAAGAACAAAACCATTCGGATTGTCTACATTGTCGTCAACCTATAACTTCAAAAGTAACTTTTCGTCCGAAAACAGGTTTCAAACCTCGTCCGATATCTTTACCGTCGTCACTTATCTTAGATCAATCTTCATCAATCACAGCTAAACCTGCAAAACATAATTGGCGTCGATTAACACTTATTCCTAGTTTAATATCAGCACGTACAAAATGTTCGGCTGTACGTAATGAACAAAAAGCTGTTAAAGTTCTTGGTGTTGTTTTTGTTATATTTGTGATAGCATGGTTTCCATTTTGTATTATGAATTTATTACAAGGTGTTTGTAAACGTTGTTCAATTAATACAGATATATTAAATGGTTTTGTTTGGCTTGGTTATGTTTCATCATCAATTAATCCACTTGTTTATACAATATTCAATCGAAATTTTCGTTTAAAATTTATTGCATTACTTAAATGTCAATGTTTATACCAAACAAATCAACAAAGACAATTATCTTATTATAAAAGTTATTCATCTTTACATGGCCCACGTCTTCAACATACAGATGGTTTAGTACAAAATGATATTCGACGCTTTAATGCACATCGACAACGTATGGAAACCATATTAACATAAATAGTATTTTCTATTCAATAAAAAAAGCGGATACATAAGTATCTGTCTTAAGCAAACAGCTCTCGGCAAAAATAACAAGGTCATCAATGAATATTACAGAAATAAAAATAAGTCTTTTCAACATCCAATAATGATACATATATCTTCACATCAATCGTCACCAAAACAGTCGTTTTATGCTGTGTTTTTTTGGTCCATTATAATGATAATAGACATTAGCACACGTACACAGACAAATTATATATTCTATTGAGAAGTATGCGTCCCATCTTTCATCATGGTACACTTTATCATCGTCACAATGTATGGATATATGTCAAAATAAAGACACAAGTTGTAGCACATGTAAACAGAAAATATTGCTTGATAAAATCAATGATCGATTTTTTTATGTAAAAATCTGCTCCGAAGAATTTCGGCTCAAATTATTTATAAATTCATGAGATTTAATCTTCAGTTTACAATCTAACAAAGGCAATGTTGATGAGACAGGAAAACGATCGCTATTCGAAATCAACAGTGATAAATCGAACTCAGCTTATCTTGATTGCTATCGAGAACTTATTACGTTCGTAAAACAAATATTTCTACTAACGAGAAAACATATCCGACTATTGGACACTGTTCGACTTCATATTATTAACGACGAGTAGATCTTGGTGAGACAAAGAAAAGCTCTAAGAAGCCATTTCTGAAAAACCCAAACATATAATTTTGATCTTATTCCTATTAAATTCGATTATCATGTCCTCCTATCATGAACTTTTTGTTTTTTGGAAATTGAATATCTCAGGAAAGACGTGTGCGTTTTGGTTGAAATTATCAGAACTATCAAATTTATCTATAGAAAAAATTTCAGATGAAAACTCTTCACGTTGGTTATTTCGAAATCGTATTATTTTCAATCAAAATGTCCACAAGTTTTCATCAGTAGACCATGTATGCGAATCCATTTAGCCTTTTCCTGGTCTTACCAAGCATATGAAGCTGTATGGCATCCAACAGCTGGATATGATCACTCTTGAGTTATTGACTATCATACATGATATACAATACATACTAAATTGTTGATTTTTTTATATTTTGATTCACATTTATCTATTATTGAATCATCTAATTTAGTACTTGTATACTATAATCATTCTCATTTATTTGTATAGATGAAATCGTAATAGTAAATCTAAGTCATATTGTAAAGATTATGAATAATCAAACAACAATTGATGCTGAAAGATACTCGAAATTGATTGAAAGTGATGTCACTCTTTTTTATTCAATGGTTGATTAGTTATGGAAACTTTTGTTCGGCTCCGAAGAATGCGTAATATTCTCAGTCGTTGTTCATAAATTTAGTTGAATCTACACTGAAGAAAATATTGAGAAAGATCGATGATTATATGCAAATGTGAATATTTTAATCCATACAATGGCGTAGAAGATATATAAAGAGAATTTGTTTTTTCATGAACAGAATAGAAAAATTTGATTGTGAATTTTATGATTGAGCGATCGAATGAGAAAAATCAACTATTTGTCTTTCATAAGATTCACTATTTAAACTCATTTAATTAAAACTACTGTATTCAATTTATTAAAATACATAGTTTTATAATAAAGCTACTTTTTAATATGAACAATAAGATTTCAGGCGAAATTCTTGAAATCTTCAAATAATTACATTTAAGGGAAATAATCTTAATAATTTACTTTTGCTTGTTTATCACGAATAACCAAAATCAGAATTATTCAAGAAGATCAAATACAAATCTAATAATAAAAGGAATTTCACGTCATTTAACAAAATGAATATTATCTTTATTTAACAAACACTAAGAAAATTTTATATTTATGAATTAAGATAAAGACGAATAAGTTTGCATAAACCATCTTATGAAATTTTTCAATTTTGTAGGAATTGTATATGTCAATATTTCATTTAAATTATTGTTTAAAAATAGTACAATAGAAATTAATTAAAAAAAAATAATCAACGAGTCATATCGATTCATGAAATAGCTTTTTCAAAAACTATCAACATCAAAAGTTTCGCACTGTTTTTATTTTTTAAATCGTATAGTAAAATTACAACACATTGATTTGATATGATTACATGCCTGTATTGGATACAGAAAAATGCTTGAACATATAATATGCCATGAATAAATAGACACTTCAGTATTAACTAGAAGACGAAGCGAAGAAAAATTACGACTAGGTGAAGTTCATTAGCATGTGTCATATACTCAATACTACCCAACTCAGTTGCAGTCGAAAAAGAATTTTCAGTAACAGATCAAGTTATTAATCAGAGAAGATGTAACTTAAGCGTAACAACTGTTACTTATATCTTATTTCTTTACTCAATAGAGAATAACCAAGTAAAAGATTGATTGATATCGAGCTATATCGCTTGTGTGCTTCTGTGTCTATTTCTCGTAATATGTAGTCAAAGATACTACATGATAAAAAGATGCAAACATCTTATAAAGATGTGGCGAGACAACGAAGATAAAGATTAAGAGTGAAATGTGGCGAGTCGAGATGAAAGAAAAAATATTCTCTCTGTTTTGATCTATGATATTTACTAAGATATGCAGCCTGATATTGTTGCTATAAGTGTAGAATGAATGATGATGAATTAATGTAAACGAATAATCTCTACATACATCATGTTCATATTTAATACCACAATAACTATAACAAGGTCTAATACTTTCTTCTTTTCTTATTGTATCATTCGTTATTTATCATCATGACTACAGTGCATTTTTCTGGATAGCTATTATCTCCAGTAATCCACAACGTGCTAAACTTTGATCTGACCCTTTAATTTTTGATGTATAATGAGTTTTTGCTGTATTTAAGAGTAAACTTCTAGGATAAGAACTTAGTATACTACATGTAGTTTATTAAGATTTGTGTGCCGCTTGGCAAACTTGAACAATGGAAAATAAAGTTTATAAGGAAATACCATGCCTGATTACAAAAGTTTGAAACACAGTATCGAGTAGTTTGCTTTCATGTCATTTTATTCGTTAGTGATGAAGTTTCTTTTTAATCATTCTATTTTATCTTGACGACTTTTTTCTGTGAAGGAAATGCATGTGACAAACTTGAATAGAAAGATACTCGCAAGGTGAGGATGTATAGTTTTTCCTTGATCTCTACACACTACAATATAATCTAATCTGCCTTTATACATACGTCTATATTGATATCAGTAATAGAGAGAGTGGTTAAACATAAACAGAATGATACCTAGGTTTGTAACTTGGACGAAATAGGGATGAGAATGTTACATTTCATTATAGTGTACATATATAGGACTTAACCTCTGTTATACAAGCATATCATCATATTAAATTAATGCTATGTAGTTTTACTAGAGTAATTAAAAGTAAAAAGTAAAAAATGATGCGAGACGTTTCACGTAGGCTGTATATCTATTCAACCTGTTTCAGCTGGAATATTAATCATTTAAAGGTATAAAAGCATGTTTATTAACAGTGGAAAGCTGCTAAATTATTCGGGTTGATATTTTTTTTTATCATCAAAGCATCGTTGAAAAATTCAATTAATAGTACCTTCAATTCATTGATCAATTTATACGTGCGAAGATCTTTTTGATTGAACTTCTTTGACGTACAGGTTAATATATCTATCAATACAATGAACTAATAAACTAAGGTATTAAATTTTTTGAAGAATTTTACACTAGTTGATCGTTGTTTCAATATGTTCAGAATTTATGATTAATAACATCAAATAAATCGCCAATTTTAAGTATTTATATGTAGAAACATTAACAAATGATAATAAACTTATGATGAAACAAGTGCAAACGACTCTTGATATTGAATGTTGCATCTTCATAAAGCGCTTCTCTAAAAATTGTACTGAATATTCATAAAGTTTTGATATTCAATCGGATATTTCTGGTCAAAATATATCTAGAATTGAACTAAATCGATTAGGTGCAGAAAACGAACTTTTTTCTGTGTTTTCATCAAATAAAATTAAAATGTCACTTAAGAAAAGACACATAGTTCATCTTATTTAATGAATTATGTTGTTATTTACTAGTAGAAACAATTACTTAGTTGCAAGACAGAGTATTTCAAAAAAAAGTCGAAACACAAAGTAGTAGGAAGTAAAAGATCACAATTGGACGAATAGGTTACACAACCAATGATGAAATCAACTAGAAGTGCGACATCCATAGAGAACAGATGATGCTAGATGCTTTTTAAAAACTTCTTATATAAGATATTTTTTTAAATAAAGAGTTGATTAATTTTCAGAAGAAGAAATCGAACGACCAACTTTTATTCCAATTAATCGAACTATTATAGCACATTTGGCTAGAGTTCAATCAGCAATTCATAGAATATTTACTATCAACGAATGAACATTATTTGATTATAATTCGACTTATACATAAAATATGTCGAATTCAAATTCTTTCAGTTTCAGGAAATACATAAGTTTAATTATTTAACTTAGAGAATTTATTCGAATTCAGTATATTATTACTAAATACGTTGCTGCCATCTTGGATATGGCAAAATATACCATGATGGTGCGATGCATGAGTGAAGAGGGTACTCTTCCTTCTTTGGAAAATTTGACGGTAGCTTTCTCCGGTTCGAGAAGAAATTTGTGTCAAACTTTCTTCATCTTTGAATATAATATATCTCATACTTTCTTACTTGGAGAGAACATGTGACTTAAACTTCCTTCGAATCTAGAAAGTTTTATTTCATTTTTTCTGTTCTTCATGATATTGGTGTATGAAGGAGTGTGGATGAAGAGAAGAGTTTTAACTACACTCATAACCATCCTGAAGAGTAGCATACCAATTCATCATACGACATGCCATGACTGGTTAGTAGCTTTCATCTGTCATATATGTTGCACATGATTGTATCTCAGTAATAAAGAAAACACTTTTACCGAAACATCATCGAAGTGAAAGGTTCGGTTCTTTTACTGTTCGAGTCATGTGAGTGCATATCAAGTGACTAATTTTCGTTGCTATTCATTACAGGTGCGTGTGTGTGTTTTTATCATCTTGCTAGGAGATAATGAAGAGACAAGCAATCAAAACAAAAAAAAGTAAATGCAGTCTTAAAAAGGGCGGAAAAACGAGACCTCAGTACTCTAAAGTATGAGTAAAGTGCGGCACTACACTATACTTAATTCGTATATTATGGTATTTCAGTCATACTTCACTTGTCCTTCATTCGTACTTGGAAGTACAGAAGCCTCATCCTTTCTCTTTTGAGTCTTCATCAAACAACTCCTTTGATAAATGAAAGCATATAAAAGACCTGTAGTAAACATTTTTGGTTCTGTAAGCAAATAAACTCTCGCACTATTTCATGAAATTGCCTCGAAGATGTCCACAGACACATCTGTTGACAAAATACTCACATTCTACAAAGATGAACCTCCAATCAATTCAGATTTGGAAACTTTCTTTGCCAACTATGCTTCAATTCCAGCATCAGCCTTACGTGACCATTTGATCGATGTACGACAGCGGGCATGGCAAAAGCACAACTATCCGTGTCTCGGTCGCTGGACATTTCTAGATTTTTCCATCCAGCAAAGTCCCATTTATCAGGAGATTCTTCATCAATGCAAAAATGAAGGAGCTACATTGATCGATTTCGGATGTTGTCTTGGTCAAGACATCCGACAACTCGTATACAACGGAGTGCCACTCAATCATCTTCGTGGTTATGATCTCGATCCATTCTTCATAGAACTAGGGTATGAATTATTTCGTGACGGCGAAATAATGCGAGAAAAGAAAATCTTTAGTGCGGGTGACATATTTGACGATGAATTTCTAAACAGTGTACAACCAGCAGATTATCTGTATGTTGGCTCATTTATACATCTGTTCGATGCACAGACTCAGCGAGAAGTTTGTCAGCGACTTACTCGCTTGGCTAAACGAGCTATTGCTGGTCGACAAGCTGGTGCCTCATTACCGACAGAATGTATTCGATCAACAGCATTTCCAAGCAGAAAAGCGATGCGACACTCTCCAGAAAGTTTTACGCAAATGTGGGATGAAGTAACTAATCACCAATGGCAAGTCGAAAGTGTTAATTTACAGACAACGGACAACATGCAAGATATTCGTCGACGGCTTACTTTCGTAATCAGAAAACGAGGAGAAAATTAAATATTGTCTTATATCGAACGTTGACACAATTCTTTTAATCGATATTCTTTGTTTTGCCGCTTGTCGAATTATTCAATAATAAAAATCTTTTCGAGTGAAGTGCAAGATCGATCTTGTTCATATGTCATCGATGAATAAAGATCAGCAGTAGTTATTCTTTTGTAGATTAATACTTTTTTGATAAGAAGCTGGAGTAAAAACTCCTAAAAGTGCTGTTCGCGCTTCCTTTCAGAAGGAACTTTTTTATACTATTGATGTACGTTCTTTTGTTAGTATAATAGATCATATCATCTGGTTCTATCGAGATTGACCGTCAATCAAGAGGGAATAATGAGGGTGACTGATCATCTATTGTATCTCAGTCAGAGCGGCATATGAAAGATTTATTTTCTGAAAAGTACATGCAATGTGACATTCATCACTCCATTATTTTGAAGCAATGGTCTGAAAGCTTTAGTTTGTCCGAAACGAAACTTCACAATTACGTCTCGAATCACTTTGATAGCCATGATTGGATTGGGTGTAGGGTTTTGAATATTGAATTCAATTATTCAGTTCGAAATATCATTCATTTTCTTTGAATATTCTAAAATAAATCACACTTTCAAACACTAGTCAAATGATTAATTTCGAGTGAACTTTTCCGATGAGTCTTTTTCTTTAGTTCCGGTTTCTGGGTGTTAGTGGGAAAAAAAACTTATATTGGTCTTGACTAGCGAAATACAGTGATATTGTTGAGAGAACATCGTAAGCTGACATATTTTGAGTATGCATGGCGCTTGAATTAAGATATAGGGTATGGATGTGGAGAAATATGAAGGGTTGTGGGGGTGGATTATTAGAAAATATCATATTCACATCTTAGACACACATACCCACACCCACATGGTCAAACCTCATCATTCAGCAACAATTCAAGGCATTCAACAATGTTTAGCGGCTGAGTGCTACGCTTGATTTTATCAACCTTCAGTCAGGAAAGTATAATCTATACCTTTTACTCTACTTCTTTGGTGAGTCAACGATCAAGAAGGCCTCATCTTCTTCGTGTGAAATAAACTAGTTGACGACGTTTATACACGACTAGCTCTCGAATCCATATGTGCGTATGAACTGTATGCATGGTTCGTCATGTGGATTTATTTGACTTCTTCATGCCTTCAGAGTTGCAATGGTCGTCACCGAGAATTGTTCTCAAATCGAGGACGCGTGGATGTTTTTATTAAAATAGGCGGATTATTAGGAACAAATTGTGGTAATATCAGTGACGAGAGAAATCAAATTTATTCGTGTTCAGAAAAAAGCACAACAAACAAATAGCATCAACTCGTTCCAAGTGAGAATTGTTGCACTCGATAATTCAGATAGTCAACAACATAGAGATTACCTTGTCTATCAAATGACAAACCAATGGGACATTTCAATTGATGTAGATTGTCTCCGGGACCATGTCCGCCAATAATCACATTTCCTTTTGTTTCTCTATTGTACCACCTCATGATTCGATGATTCCCGTAGTCTGCCACATAGATTGTGCCCAAAGTATCAACGCACAGTCCATTTGGAGAGTGTAGCTGAAACAGAGTATGCCCTTGTCCTAGTCCACCCGCTACAACAATGCCTTCTTTAGCATTCTTTACCCATTTCATCACACGATGATTTTCTCTGTCTGATACGTAAACAGAATGCTCCTGATCGACAAAAATGTATCCAGGATAGCAGAGTTGACTAAGATGATCACCTGATCCATTTCCACCCGCTACCACTGTTAGTTTACTTGTTCCCATTCGAATACGTATCACTCGATTACTTTTCCAATCGGAGACATACAGATATCTCTCATTGTCCATGGCTAATCCCCAGCAATCAATATTATCAATAAGAGTTTCTCCACTGTTAATACCATTTCGGCGAGACCATCGCATTACTCGACGATTACACGAATCACAAATGATGAGAGTATCTGTCATTTTGTCAACAATCACATCTGTTGGACCATCCAACTGATTATTCCGATTTCCGAAACCTGTTCCACCAGCGACTACTTGCCCTTTCTTTGCATTCACTTTCCACTCCACAATACGATGATTCCATCTGTCAGCAATAAGGATATTTCCATCATCCGTTATATAGAGACCATGAGGACCATGAAGTTGATCGAGTTCGCAACCTGACTCATTACGCCCAGCAACCATTTCACCTTCCTTTCCCCATATGGCATTGGAAGGAATGCTTGGAATAACTATACATTTCAAAGAACCAAAAGAAATTTTGCTGACAAGTAATATTCAAAATAGTAGACTAGTAAAAGAGCTATTGGAAGAAGTTTGACTCTAGGCAACAAAAAAATTAGCCTTCTTGTGGGTTTTGAAGATGAGATTTGTCTCTAATGACAAGTATTGATATTCTTATATTGCTTAAAAGTTATCCTTGTCACAGTGCTTACTATCTGATGCTGATATCTTCGTATTAATCTTCCAGTGCTGCCGCTTCCAGTCTTCGCTCCATTTATGGTTTACTCTCAACACAAGAAAGTTTCTGTCCAAGTTTCGACGTTTTTCATCAGACTTCTTGCTATCATAGTTAAGTTTGTGCTTTGCTGATAAACTCATTTTGTAGGAGCCATCACTATCGAGTTTTGTGAGCACGATGACTCTTGGATTGTAGTGAAATGTGTTCTTCCTCGTACCATCAAAGTAAAATGGTTTTAATATGGATTCTTTTTTATGGCATAATTAGTGATTCTTCTCGAAAATATGGATTTCGTTTTTTTTCCACTTATTTATCTCATAGTCCCTTTCCGATATCTAAAGATATTCTATCGTAGTAAAACAATTTTTGTGACCAGTTGTGCTCTTCATCTCGATAGCTACAATCAAAAAGTACCTGGTCATCAATGCGGTTAAAAATTAAGTTTGTCGTCTTGCTTAATTATGATTGAGAAAGTGTAACCATGCTGTGGTCGACATTTCTTTCAAAAATGTATGTATTTATTACAAAAAGCTCAAATTTACTAGACTCCACTTGATCTGAACCGATTCGACTCAATTCTTTTGAATTTGATATTATTCAACATACCTTCGCAAAATCTTAATTCGATCGATTCGATTCGACCTTGAGCTATGGCTGTTATCTTATGAACAACCGCTAATTATTAAAATTCCTTTTTTGTGCATCGTAAAAAACTTTTTTATAGTTCGTACCCATCTAATGGCAACATATAATTTGAAACAAATAAGGAAAAAAAATGCAGCGCTAAAATTTCACAATAAAATTTTGGCATGTTTCCTCGGAAATTGAAATACAAACGATGATTGAGGTACCTTTTGTCGCCCTTGACGATTCTCTCAATACTGATTATAATTCATAAAATACTCAAAGTAGCAGCACACCAAAACTTTTTTCTCAATCTGCAGTTAAGATTAAAAGATCGTCATGGATGGGGACTCGACATGAATAGATTTGGCATTTTGTGAATCTTTTTTTTATGAGTTTAGAAACATAATACGAGACAAGTGATAACAATTCGTAGGCTGTAACAGAAAAGTCAATCTATTCTTCTATCGATTCCATCATGGAGCTTACGAGGGAATATTCCCAAGTGTTGGAGCGCTTTTGAGTCGGAACTTAGCGCATCTTGTAGACCTCGGTGAACTATGTTTACCGTAAAAATAGTTCGTGCCCATGGCTTATTCCTAGCGAGATATCGAAGTTTTAGTGACTTTTCTCTGTAGAATCCTACTTTTCCAGCACAACCATATTTTCGAATTTCGACATGAAACTTTGTCCACATAAAGATCTCAACTAAACTAGCTTGCAAAAAAAATTTCAGAACTTTTCAACAAAGTCTCTTCGAGCTATGAAGATGTCAAAAAATGGATGCTGTATACACTATGTATGGAAAAGAGCCTATATCTTAGAATCTTCACATTTCGAAGAGACTTTGTTGAAAAGTTCTGAAATTTTTTTTGCAAGCAAATCTAGCTGAGGTCTTTATGTGGACAAAGTCTCATATCGAAACTCGAAAATATGGTTGTGCTGGAAAGTAGGATTCTACATAGAAAAGTCACTAAAACTTCGATATCTCGCTAGGAATAAGCCATGGGCACGAACTATTTTTACGGTAAACATAGTTCACCGAGGTCTAAAAGATGCGCTAAGTTCCGACTCAAAAGCGCTCCAACACTTTGGAATGTTCCCTCGTTAGTAGAGTTGGCAATAACTGATAATCAAAACCAAAATAGGTTCATCGTATTTCCCTACGATAAAAAAGGAAATTGTCTCAAAATTTTATTTTTGTTCGAAAGAGAATTACTGTTGATGTCTCAAGATATTGTGAAATTACGATGTATGCTTTCAGCATCTTCACAAAATCAATAAAGCAGCCAGTAAAGAATTGGAGTTCTCAAAAGTGTTAGAATGACAGTTAGATCTTAACAACTCGAAGTGTTATTTGTAAAGGTTAAATATTGATAATTAGGTTAATAGAATATATTTTTACTGCAGTTGATTGGTTAAGACTAGGCACTTACTACTAGTTTCAGTTTGTGCATTCATTGTTTTCTTCATAGCTTACAGAACTGCATGAATTGCTTTCATGGTAATTTTGAATAGCAGTAACTTTCAGCTTCTTTGTTTTCTCATGTTACTTCGCTTTTTTCTCTTCCGAAAGCAGAAAGAAAAGACCTTGATCTGTTATTGCAGCCCGTCGACTATTTACTTTTTCATTCTTTTTTTGCATCTGCTCACTTAAAACAAAGCATTTGTGACTATGACCTTGATGTTGAAAAGTTTCAACGTGTGGATATCTGAATGCAGCTATGGGTTGGTCTCGTCTCTTCATTTATACCGAACTCACACCTTACTAATACGAATAAACGAATATTTCTGTTAAAAAAATTCACTGCTCATTTTCTTCTAAATCCAACCGAAAAAGAAAAACAATGGGATTTTAATATCAAACTGATCAAGCACTTAATTTCTATTATGCATTCTTATTT